CCCTGGAGATAATACCATCTTGAAGGATAACTTGATATATACTACCTAGATTTATACCTCGCCCAAAAACAAGAAACACAATGAAGAAGCAAGAAAACGGGATAAAGAAGCCTGTAACTCCTTTTATGAAGACATTCTTGATAAGAGCAAGATTAAAAGAAGGTTTGGAGTTTATTAACAATGATATATATTTAATAATAATGATATATATGACAGTGTCAGACCACGAAGGAGGGATTAATGCAGGAATTTCCTTAAGTTCTTTCGTATTTAATAATACATCTTCAGAAGGATCATTCTTCTGAAGATGTATTATTAATTACGAAGGTGCATAAGAAAATACCTGTCTTAATCCTTCCTTCGTGGTCTGACACTGTCATATTGTTCATCATGTGTTAATATGTTTGTGATTTACACACACACACACACAGACACACACACACACACACACACACACACACACACACACACACACACACACACACACACACACGAACAAGGGGACACAGGTGGAAACTTAGTACCCAGATGAGCCACAGAGACGTTAGAAAGAATTTTTTTCAGTGTCAGAGTAGTTAATAAATGGAATGCATTAGGCAGTAATGTGGTGGAGGCTGACTCCATACACAGTTTCAAGTGTAGATATGATAGAGCCCAGTAGGCTCGGGAATCTGTACACCAGTTGATTGACAGTTGATTGAGCCAAAGCTCAACCCCCGCAAGCACAATTAGGTGAGTACACACACACACATATATATATATATATATATATATATATATATATATATATATATATATATATATATAAAGGAAACAATGGCGTCGTCTCTGACAGCTAGCACAAGAAGACCAAGAAAGAGAATTACCCTAAAACATTGTGCCAGACCTCAGCTGGAATACACTCCAGCCGAAGTGTATTCAGAGTACAGATACAGAGTACATCAAAGAGCACGTAAATTAACACTATCATTAAGAAGTACTTTCATTGAAGAGGCGTAGACAACGGGGAGACTTAAGTGAAAACTTAAGATGCTCACAACACGACTGTAGCACAACAGCGCTACAGTCAAACGAGAGAAACAACTTGAGATACTGGTAGATTCAACACTGGGCCAGTAGATTCAATACTAGGCCAATAGATTCAACACTGGGCTAGTAGATTCAATACTAGGCCAATAGATTCAACAATGGGCCAGTAGATTCAATACTAGGCCAATAGATTCAACACTGGGCTAGTAGATTCAATACTAGGCCAATAGATTCAACAATGGGCCAGTAGATTCAATACTAGGCCAATAGATTCAACAATGGGCCAGTAGATTCAATACTAGGCCAATAGATTCAACACTGGGCTAGTAGATTCAATACTAGGCCAATAGATTCAACAATGGGCCAGTAGATTAAATACTAGGCCAATAGATTCAACAATGGGCCAGTAGATTCAATACTAGGCCAATAGATTCAACAATGGGCCAGTAGATTCAATACTAGGCCAATAGATTCAACAATGGGCCAGTAGATTCAATACTAGGCCAATAGATTCAACAATGGGCCAGTAGATTCAATACTAGGCCAATAGATTCAACAATGGGCCAGTAGATTAAATACTAGGCCAATAGATTCAACAATGGGCCAGTAGATTAAATACTAGGCCAATAGATTCAACAATGGGCCAGTAGATTAAATACTAGGCCAATAGATTCAATACTAGGCCAATAGATTCAATACTAGGCCAATAGATTCAATACTAGGCCAATAGATTCAACAATATGCACGTAGATTCAACATGTACAAACGTTTTGAGGATTTGTTGAACTGTTAAGCACTGGGCACGGCGGCGGAGGACAGAAACAGTGAAGCAGGAAGAGTGACGCTGAAGATGGCGTCGGGGAATTGAAGTGCGACTCGATACGACGTCGGGAAGGACAAATGTGGCTCAAGACAACGATGGGGTAATGTAACGCAGGTAGCAATTGTCATCTTTTACGCAATGTAATGTAATGTCTCGCACGAAAAAGCAATACAGATTTGACACGAGAGGGCGTGTGTGTGTGTGTATTCACCTAGTTCTGCTTGCGGGGGTTGAGTTCTGCTCTTTCGGCCCGCCTCTCAACTGTCCATCAATCAACTGTATGTGTGTGTGTGTGTGTGTGTGTGTGTGTATTCACCTGTTAGTGTCTACAGGATTGGGCTGTTTAGCTCTTGGGTCCAGCCTTTCTAGCCGCCTGTTGTCCAATGTCATGATTCTCGGCTTGTATTTTATATCATACGCAGGCGATGAGTCACAATAACGTGGCTGAAGTAGTTTGACCAGACCACACACTAGAAGGTGAAGGGATGACGACGTTTCGGTCCGTCCTGGACCATTCTCAAGTCGCAATCGACTTGAGAATGGTCCAGGACGGACCGAAACATCGTCGTCCCTTCACCTTCTAGTGTGTGGTTTGATCAAACATTTTATATCATGTTTACTAACCTAACTACTGACTATCGCCAGGATGTGTGGGGCTTCACTGGGAATTTTCAAGGTTCCATTTCGTTGGTGACTGGCATAGGCGATTGTGAAGGGAATTATAAACACAATTCAACATCTTGGCGTGTTTTGTATAGTGTAATAGATTAATTTTAAACTCTGATGTTGTTTTAGTAATTGTTATAGTATAATAGATTAATTTTAAACACCGTGATGTTTTCAGGGAATGAAAGTTAATTTTGTTTCTTATAACGTTGAAATAGACGCCATGGTCTTAGATTTTTAAGATAAAACTAGTTTTGAGATCCTTAAGTTGAACTATAATGATCAATAGTTACGGCATAGTTATAGAGTAACTATAATGATTAGAAGATTTTTAAGTTTCTCTGATTTTGAACATCTCTGTTCTATATCTTAGGCAAAGTCATTCTTTTCAGCGTTGCAAATAGACTTTCTTTCTTTTACTGGAGTAAAGTTAACATTTGAACACCTTAAAATATATTTTATCTCCGTTAAAGTATAATTAAATGTTAAAAATGTTGATTTTGTATGCACATTAATATAAAATTTTAATCGCTTTAGTTTCAATTTTAAGCTCTATAACAACAACAACATTTCGAACACATCACCGCCATTTTTTTTTAAGCGCTGGAACGCTTATTGAAGAAATAACCACAGCAACAGTGTTAGTTTTGGGAACTTCAACTCTGACGTTAGGCTCAGTTTCGTTAATTTCTTGCTTTCCTGCGCCGTCTTTTAGGCTTTGCGACCACGAACAAAACATATCGGCCAATTTCGATTATAAAAACATTAAACGCTTATGTATATGAGTGGGATTGGGTGGTTATAGATAGGAGCTGCCTCGTATGGGCCATTAGGCCTTCTGCAGTTAGTTGACCAGATTACACACTAGAAGGTGAAGGGACGACGACGTTTCGGTCCGTCCGGGACCATTCTCAAGTCGATTGTCTTCTTCTGCAGTTACCTTTGTTCTTATGTTTGAATATGAGCCTGGGAAATGTTATCTATGACGACGACTGTTATCTCCTCGTAGATAACAGTCGTCGTTAGACCAAGATAACATGTGAGAGAGCCAAGTAGCTGAGAGAACCTAGTGTCGGAGAAACCCTAGTGACCGAGATCCTTAATGGCTGAGAGAGCCTAGTGCCTCAGAAACTATAGTTTAGATTTCGTATGGTTGGGTTGGCTAGTTTGGCTAGGTTTGATTATTATTATTAACATCTTTATTGACAAAATTAATTACAATTTTGCCTAATCTGAGGATTTTGATAGTCTTATTAAAGTGAGGATAATGCTGGTATTCACTGTCACGCAGGACAGAGGGTCATACATAAGACAATGGGCTGGGTGTGATTGGCTCTAAATCCCGATGGCGAATAAGTCCGTCCGCCGCGACTTTGAACGCCCTGTCACCTCACGTTCTTCTCTAGCTTTGACGCCATTTTCCCCCATTTTCCCCCACTTCACTGTATAAGCTGTGATCTAACAAAGCATTTTTAAGCTCCTTAAATTATTATTTGGATTTTATACGATTAACTTTGTAGCGCACTTAAAAAGTTTCGGGTGCTCAAAAAAGCACTTATTTCGAGCGTGTGTTAAAGAATTGGTTCTGTCTAGAAATTAAATGAATAGCATACGTCAAAATAGGAGTTGCTACAATACATCTAACACTATTACTTTAAATATGAGTCTGCAATGTTCAATGTGAGTCCCCAACGCTGGTTGTGAGAACACAACCAGCAGCCGGTTGTGTTCTTGCAGCAGCCGGTTGTGTTCTTGCAGCAGCCGGATGTGTTCTTGCAGCAGCCGGATGTGTTCTTGCAGCAGCCGGTTGTGTTCTTGCAGCAGCCGGATGTGTTCTTGCAGCAGCCGGATGCGTTCTTGCAGCAGCCGGATGTGTTCTTGCAGCAGCCGGATGTGTTCTTGCAGCAGCCGGATGTGTTCTTGCAACAGCCGGATGTGTTCTTGCAGCAGCCGGTTGTGTTCTTGCAGCAGCCGGTTGTGTTCTTGCAGCAGCCGGATGTGTTCTTGCAGCAGCCGGTTGTGTTCTTGCAGCAGCTGGTTGTGTTCTTGCAGCAGCCGGATGTGTTCTTGCTGCAGCCGGATGTGTTCTTGCTGCAGCATCGCGCTTAGTTTGGTTTTAGATTTAGAATTTTCAAGAGCATAATAATCTTTCATCTCTCTTTTTGCCTCCTTGCAGATGAGATTTCTCTGCTGGCAATTGTAGAATGGAGCTGAGAAAGGTGGAATGTGAGGTAGAATTATACTGCGTATTGCATTATTCAACGTGGAATTGTATTGCACATTGCATTAAATGCAACTTGTCTTGAAGCGCTTGAGACGGCGGGTCTCAACCATTGTGCCCTTGACGTAATTCCGGGTCGTAGTTTGGGCACTAGGTACTTGGTAGTACCCATGAGCCTCGTTCTACCGGCCTAGTTAGCAGTAACCAGCCCTATGATCCTACAGGACCTAGTCAGCACTAACCAGCCCTTTGGTCCTACAGGACACAGCCAGTACCCTGGACTCTACTCGGCGTCGCTCTTCGCGGGGTCCGGTGCAGGAGGCAAGAGGAAGCGACGCCATCGGACCATCTTCACGGAGGAGCAACTCGAGGAGCTAGAAAGGACCTTCGCTAAGACCCACTACCCGGACGTCCTCCTCAGGGAGCAGCTGGCTCTCAAGGTCGACCTCAAGGAAGAGAGAGTGGAGGTGAGAAGCAACAATGTCTTATTTGCTTTCTTGTCTTATTAATCTGTGTCAGGAGTCGTCATGCAAGCATTTACGCAACTACTTGCGAAACCCCTACATCTTCCCTCAATCTTGACGCCTTTGTTTACATTTAATAAAGAGTTGACGAACACCTAAACTCCATAAATCATGTTTTTGTTTTTTTTTATATATAAACAACCTCGAAGCGCTTCGAGGTGTGGCGGCGGTGTTTGTGTGGTGGTGGTGTTTGTGTGGTGGTGGTGTTTGTGTGGTGGCAGTGTTGGTGTGGTGGTGGTGTTTGTGTGGTGGTGGTGTTTGTGTGGTGGTGGTGTTTGTGTGGTGGTGGTGTTTGTGTGGTGGCAGTGTTGGTGTGGCGGCGGTGTTTGTGTGGTGGTGGTGTTTGTGTGGTGGTGGTGTTTGTGTGGTGGTGGTGTTTGTGTGGTGGTGGTGTTTGTGTGGTGGTGGTGTTTGTGTGGTGGCAGTGTTGGTGTGGCGGCGGTGTTTGTGTGGTGGTGGTGTTTGTGTGGTGGTGGTGTTTGTGTGGTGGTGGTGTTTGTGTGGCGGCAGTGTTGGTGTGGTGGTGGTGTTGGTGTGGCGGCGGTGTTTGTGTGGTGGCGGTGTTTGTGTGGTGGTGGTGTTTGTGTGGTGGTGGTGTTTGTGTGGTGGTGGTGTTTGTGTGGTGGTGGTGTTTGTGTGGTGGTGGTGTTTGTGTGGTGGTGGTGTTTGTGTGGTGGCAGTGTTGGTGTGGCGGCGGTGTTTGTGTGGTGGTGGTGTTTGTGTGGTGGTGGTGTTTGTGTGGTGGTGGTGTTTGTGTGGTGGTGGTGTTTGTGTGGTGGTGGTGTTTGTGTGGTGGTGGTGTTTGTGTGGTGGCAGTGTTGGTGTGGCGGCGGTGTTTGTGTGGTGGTGGTGTTTGTGTGGTGGTGGTGTTTGTGTGGTGGTGGTGTTTGTGTGGTGGTGGTGTTTGTGTGGTGGTGGTGTTTGTGTGGTGGTGGTGTTTGTGTGGTGGTGGTGTTTGTGTGGTGGCAGTGTTGGTGTGGCGGCGGTGTTTGTGTGGTGGTGGTGTTTGTGTGGTGGTGGTGTTTGTGTGGTGGTGGTGTTTGTGTGGCGGCAGTGTTGGTGTGGTGGTGGTGTTGGTGTGGCGGCGGTGTTTGTGTGGTGGCGGTGTTTGTGTGGTGGTGGTGTTTGTGTGGTGGCAGTGTTGGTGTGGCGGCGGTGTTTGTGTGGTGGTGGTGTTTGTGTGGTGGTGGTGTTTGTGTGGTGGCAGTGTTGGTGTGGCGGCGGTGTTTGTGTGGTGGTGGTGTTTGTGTGGCGGCAGTGTTGGTGTGGTGGTGGTGTTGGTCTGGTGGCGGTGTTGGTATGGCGGCAGTGTTGGTGTGGCGGCGGTGTTTGTGTGGCGGCAGTGTTGGTGTGGTGGTGGTGTTTGTGTGGCGGCAGTGTTGGTGTGGTGGTGGTGTTGGTCTGGCGGCGGTGTTGGTATGGCGGCAGTGTTGGTGTGGCGGCGGTGTTTGTGTGGCGGCGGTGTTTGTGTGGCGGCAGTGTTGGTGTGGTGGTGGTGTTTGTGTGGTGGTGTTTGTGTGGTGGTGTTTGTGTGGCGGCAGTGTTGGTGTGGTGGTGGTGTTTGTGTGGTGGTGGTGTTTGTGTGGTGGTGGTGTTTGTGTGTCGGCGGTGTTTGTGTGTCGGTGGTGTTTGTGTGTCGGCGGTGTTTGTGTGTCGGTGGTGTTTATGTGGCGGCGGTGTTTGTGTGGCGGCGGTGTTGGTGTAGCGGCAGTGTTGGTCTGGCGGCGGTGTTGGTGTGGCGGCGGTGTTGGTGTGGCGGCGGTGTTGGTGTGGCGGCAGTGTTGGTGTGGCGGCAGTGTTGGTGTGGCGGCAGTGTTGGTGTGGTGGTGGTGTTTGTGTGGCGGCAGTGTTGGTGTGGTGGTGGTGTTGGTCTGGCGGCGGTGTTGGTATGGCGGCAGTGTTGGTGTGGTGGTGGTGTTTGTGTGGCGGCGGTGTTGGTGTAGCGGCAGTGTTGGTCTGGCGGCGGTGTTGGTGTGGCGGCGGTGTTGGTGTGGCGGCGGTGTTGGTGTGGCGGCAGTGTTGGTGTGGCGGCAGTGTTGGTGTGGCGGCAGTGTTGGTGTGGCGGCGGTGTTGGTGTGGCGGCGGTGTTGGTGTGGCGGCAGTGTTGGTGTGGCGGCAGTGTTGGTGTGGCGGCAGTATTGGTGTGGCGGCAGTGTTGGTGTGGGGGCGGTGTTGATGTGGCGGCAGTGTTGGTGTGGCGGCAGTGTTGGTGTGGCGGCAGTGTTGGTGTGGGGGCGGTGTTGATGTGGCGGCAGTGTTGGTGTGGCGGCAGTGTTGGTGTGGCGGCAGTGTTGGTGTGGCGGCGGTGTTGGTGTAGCGGTGGTGTTGGTGTGGGGGCGGTGTTGGTGTGGGGGCAGTGTTGGTGTGGCGGCAGTGTTGGTGTAGCGGCGGTGTTGGTGTGGGGGCGGTGTTGGTGTGGGGGCAGTGTTGGTGTGGCGGCGGTGTTGGTGTGGGGGCAGTGTTGGTGTGGCGGCGGTGTTGGTGTGGCGGCAGTGTTGGTGTTGCGGCGGTGTTGGTGTGGCGGCAGTGTTGGTGTAACGGCAGTGTTGGTGTGGGGGCAGTGCTGGTGTGGCGGCAGTGTTGGTGTAGCGGCAGTGTTGGTGTGGCGGCAGTGTTGGTGGTGTGGCGGCAGTGTTGGTGTGGCGACAGTGTTGGTGTGGCGGCAGTGTTGGTGTAGCGGCAGTGTTGGTGTAGCGGCAGTGTTGGTGGCGTGGCGGCAGTGTTGGTGTGGCGGCAGTGTTCGTGTAGCGGCAGTGTTGGTGTAGCGGCAGTGTTGGTGTTGCGGCGGTGTTGGTGTGGCGGCAGTGTTGGTGTGGCGGTGGTGTTGGTGTAACGGTGGTGTTTGTGTGGCGGCAGTGTTAGTGTAGCGGCAGTGTTGGTGTAGCGGCAGTGTTGGTGTTGCGGCGGTGTTGGTGTGGCGGCAGTGTTGGTGTGGCGGTGGTGTTGGTGTAACGGTGGTGTTTGTGTGGCGGCAGTGTTGGTGTAGCGGCAGTGTTGGTGTTGCGGCGGTGTTGGTGTGGCGGCAGTGTTGGTGTGACGGCAGTGTTGGTATGGCGGCAGTGTTGGTGTGGCGGCGGTGTTGGAGTGGCGGCGGTGTTTGTGTGGCGGCGGTGTTTGTGTGGCGGCAGTGTTGGTGTGGCGGCAGTGTTGGTGTGGCGGCGGTGTTGGTGTGGGGGAAGTGTTGGTGTGGGGGAAGTGTGGGTGTGGGGGAAGTGTGGGTGTGGCGGCGGTGTTGGTGTGGCAGCGGTGTTGGTGTGGCGGCAGTGTTGGTGTGGCGGAAGTGTTGGTGTGGCGGCAGTGTTGGTGTGGGGGAAGTGTTGGTGTGGGGGAAGTGTGGGTGTGGGGGAAGTGTGGGTGTGGCGGCAGTGTTGGTGTGGCGGCGGTGTTGGTGTGGCGGCGGTGTTGGTGTGGCGGCAGTGTTGGTGTGGCGGCGGTGTTGGTGTGGCGGCAGTGTTGGTGTGGCGGAAGTGTTGGTGTGGCGGCAGTGTTGGTATATCGGCAGTGTTGGTGTGGGGGAAGTGTTGGTGTGGGGGAAGTGTGGGTGTGGCGGCGGTGTTTTTGTAGCGGCGGTGTTGGTGTGGCGGCAGTGTTGGTGTGGCGGCAGTGTTGGTGTGGCGGAAGTGTTGGTGTGGCGGCAGTGTTGGTGTGGCGGCAGTGTTGGTGTGGGGGAAGTGTTGGTGTGGGGGAAGTGTGGGTGTGGCGGCAGTGTTGGTGTGGCGGCGGTGTTGGTGTGGCGGCGGTGTTGGTGTGGCGGCAGTGTTGGTGTGGGGGAAGTGTTGGTGTGGGGGAAGTGTTGGTGTGGGGGGAAGTGTTGGTGTGGCGGCGGTGTTGGTGTGGGGGAAGTGTTGGTGTGGGGGAAGTGTTGGTGTGGGGGAAGTGTTGGTGTGGCGGCGGTGTTGGTGTGGGGGAAGTGTTGGTGTAGGGGAAGTGTTGGTGTGGCGGCAGTGTTGGTGTGGCGGCGGTGTTTGTGTGGCGGCGGTGTTGGTGTGGGGGCGGTGTTGGTGTGGCGGCGGTGTTTGTGTGGCGGCAGTGTTGGTGTGGCGGCGGTGTTGGTGTGACGGCAGTGTTTGTGTGGCGGCAGTGTTGGTGTGGCGGCAGTGTTGGTGTGACGGCAGTGTTTGTGTGGCGGCAGTGTTGGTGTGGCGGCGGTGTTGGTGTGGGGGCAGTGTTGGTGTGGCGGCGGTGTTGGTGTGGCGGCAGTGTTGGTGTGACGGCAGTGTTGGTGTGGCGGCGGTGTTGGTGTGGCGGAAGTGTTGGTGTGGCGGCAGTGTTGGTGTGGCGGCAGTGTTGGTGTGGGGGAAGTGTTGGTGTGGCGGCAGTGTTGGTGTGGCGGCAGTGTTGGTGTGGGGGAAGTGTTGGTGTGGGGGAAGTGTTGGTGTGGGGGAAGTGTTGGTGTAACGGGGTGTTGGTGTAACGGTGGTGTTGGTGTGGCGGCGGTGTTGGTGTGGAGGCGGTGTTGGTGTGGCGGCAGTGTTGGTGTGGTGGCAGTGTTGGTGTGGGGGAAGTGTTGTTGTCGGGGAAGTGTTGGTGTGGCGGCGGTGTTGGTGTGGCGGCGGTGTTGGTGTGGCGGCGGTGTTGGTGTGGGGGAAGTGTTGGTGTGGCGGCGGTGTTGGTGTAACGGGGGTGTTGGTGTAACGGTGGTGTTGGTGTGGCGGCGGTGTTGGTGTGGCGGCAGTGTTGGTGTGGCGGCAGTGTTTGTGTGGCGGCAGTGTTGGTGTGGGGGAAGTGTTGGTGTGGCGGCGGTGTTGGTGTGGCGGCAGTGTTGGTGTGGCGGCAGTGTTGGTGTGGCGGCAGTGTTGGTGTGGGGGAAGTGTTGGTGTGGGGGAAGTGTTGGTGTGGCGGCGGTGTTGGTGTGGGGGAAGTGTTGGTGTGGCGGCGGTGTTGGTGTGGCGGCAGTGTTGGTGTGGGGGAAGTGTTGGTGTGGGGGAAGTGTTGGTGTGGCG